GCCTTGCCCGGCCCTGGGGCCCTGCCCTGCCCTGCCCGGCCCTCCCTTCCCCTGCCCAGCCCTGCCCTGGGGCCCTGCCCTCTCCAGCTTTCCCAGCCCTTTCCCAGGCAGCTGCAGCCGGCACCTGGCCAGGTGCCTGTTCCTCTTTAAATAGCCCAGCCCAGGCAAGGCCGGGCTTCTTGGTGACGCCGGCTGTCCCTGAACTGGGCCCTCCCCCCAGCACGACACCCGCTGGAACGGCTCCCTGACGGCCGTGGCAAATCCTCCATCGCTTGGAGTCTTTGAAAGCAAGAAATCTGAACAACACTGAGTTTGCGTGTCAGCTCACTGGAGCAGGCACCAGGCGTTTGTTCTGTGTCTGGCCCATGACAGGCGCGCCTAGATGCTACCATAATATACCTAATAAACAACGTACAGCGCCTAGCACAAGGGGGGGCTGTTCTATGACAGGCTCTAGGTGCTACTGTAATAGTCCTAATAAACATTACAGCGCCCAGCACAATGGGGCTCTGGGCCATGGCTGGGGCTCCAGGCACTGCTAAAATATAAAGAAGAAGAAGAAGACCCGCTCAAGTTCACCCACACGTCGCTGGGCTCCATGCAGGAATCTCTGGGTGAGTTTGTCGGGCCGGTGTTACCAGCAGGGCAGATGGGGGATCCCAAGCCCCGTAGCGATATGCTGAGCATGGTGTGTGGGGGTTCGCATTCCCAGCTGGCATGTCTCTGCTGAGTCACAGCCTTTCCCTGCTCCGATGTGGAGTGTCCGTGATTTCCAGTAAAACCATTAGTCAGAAGCAGGTTCACAGTGGGAATTCCCGTCGCAAACCCTGTGACCTGCCAACGTTCGCGCTTGATTGTTTTCAATATGCCTCCGAAGTGCAGATCTGCAGCACGTCTTTTAAACAGCAGCCGGGAATCACTCCCAGCCCGAGCCCCCCGCGATGGATTGTAAACGCACGGCCTGGCGCTGGGAGACACACGGGCGTGGATAGCGACGGCACAGGCGTTACAGGCCGGTGGCACGGTGCTGTGAGAGCCTGAACTAGATGTTCAAAGCCCTGCTAAAAATGACAGTTAAAGAACCTGCGCTCGCGGGTTTCTGTGCCACGGCTGACACGGTGCTTGGTGCTTGGAATCCGATCGATTACCAGGAAAACTGGGGAGCGCCTCTGATTAGACCCGAGCAGCGCCTCGGTGTCACTCGGTTACTGGCTAGTCGTGGGCAATTGCCAGGAGCTACATTCTGCAGTGTCAGGGCTTAACGGGACCCTGCATGTGGGCCGGGGGCCTACGTGCTACCGTAATACACCTAATACATTACGGGGACCCTGCACGTGGGCCGGGGGCCTACGCGCTACCGTAATACACCTAATACATTACGGGGACCCTGCACGTGGGCCGGGGGCCTACGCGCTACCGTAATACACCTAATACATTACGGGGACCCTGCACATGGGCCGGGGGCCTACGCGCTACCGTAATACACCTAATACATTACAGGGAACCTGCACATGGGCTGGGGACTGGGGCCATGGCTGGGGGGGGGCCTAGGCGCTGCCGTAATACTCCTAATACATTACCAGGAACCTGGGCATGGACCGAAGGGCAGGATGTAGGTTTCTGCCCATCGTTGCAGTAGCCGAGCGCCTTGGGGCTGGCTGGTAAGGGGGCGCGGCCTCATGGCGGCTGGGGCTCTCCCCTCCGCGGCCGCAGCCATTGGCTGTCTGAGCCAAAGCCCGGCGGGCGTCGTCCCGCTGACTCCCAACGGACGCTGGATCAGCCCAGCGAGAGGCCCCGTCCGGCTTTCCTGCCTCGCGGTGCTGACAGGAGCCATGTCACAGTGGCGCCCGCCGACTGTCCACCCCGACGGGGTCTTGTCATTGCTGAGCGCTGGGCGCGGAGACCCGATCGGCCCCTGCTGCCCGGGGGTCCGGGAGCTCCTGGCCGCGGAATGGGAGTGGCGGTGTTCGGTCACAGCCCGTCTCCTGTCCCTCCTCAGCTAGTGGCACCGAAGGCACGGTGATGAGCAGCCCCCGGCGCTCGCTGGCTCACGGCTGCGGCGCTGGTGGCGATCCCTAGCACAGATCCCGTGAGCCTCCCACGCTGGCGTGCACCATGCAGGTCCCTGGGCTCTCTCCCGGCCCCAGCGTCACCGCCCCACGCTGCCCATGCCCCAGCTCCAGCCGCTCGTCCCCTCCCTGCCGTGTGCAGTGGGCACTGGCCGCTGCCGGCTGCAGAACAGGCCTCCCTGGCTCCGCTGTCACGGCCGCCCTCACTGGCGGTATCTGTGCTAGAGGACGCCAGAGGCGGCGGCCGCGGCCAGCAGAGAGAAGGCCACCAGGCCTGGGACTGGCTCCGAGACCGGCCTGCAGAGACTGGATGGAGGAGGAGAGGAGAGGGCTTTAGCTGGCATCCCAGGG